TCTCACACGAGCGATGAGAAATTCTCACAACTTGACATCAAGACCTAATATGCCAAATCATTTTACTGGATTTTGTAGGTTCCTTTCTGAACGATTCATTATAAAACTTATGCTTATACATCTAATTGATATGAGAACTAGGTACACAATATTGAGATTCTTTTTCTTATTTTCGGTTGTACACATGTGATTTCAAGCCCAAAAAAAAGGAAATAAAGAAACTCAAAACTTTTTCACAGAACAATTCTAATGCATGGTTCTTAAGATATGAATACCACCAGTGAAATAACAAAAGTTCTTATTAAAACAACTAACAAAATATCTTCGCATCTCATTGCAGTTTTAGTGCAAGTTTGCGTTAAGATATCATTTGATAATATCATGCAAAGTGACTTGCAGAATAGACTTCCTTCTTGCTATTGCAATAGAATGTCGATCTCATATTTGAAATTACTATAGATGAACTAAATTAGAATTTTTCTATGGATGGTATTGAATATTTCCTATGGATGGTATTTAACATTTCCAGCAAGGCAAAAACATGGGAAAAATTGTCCAATGCAACTTCTGGCAGCATATTTTCTCACAATCAACCAACTAAGATACCCTTAAAAACAAGAGAAAAAGCATCTTCATGAACTGGAAAATGATGCAAGTTAGTTCATAAAATTACATGAAGTTGCACATCAGGAACATGCAAAATATTGCGAGGCAAATGTACATACCTCTGATAAGCAGTTGTGTGAAGTAAGTTGAGCAACTCTTTCCATCTACATGAGTCCAGCGCTGCAAATACACAAAAGAACAGGTAATGAGCTATAATAAAAGTTCACAAGAGCTCTAATAAAAGTTCACAAGGAAGAAAAAATATATCATTGTCTAGACAAGATATTCACCTCAAACTTTTCAGATTAAAGTTGGTCTCTGAGCAACAGAAGCTAGGCCGGATATTTGTCATGAATGAAGTACCTTAGATTTAGAAGCTTCTATGCTTAACTCATGGATGAAAATAATACACTATTTCCCCCATCTTACAAACCAATTAGGACCATATATTTGTATCCCAAAGAATCATATATTTCAGTCAATTATTCTGACATAAGCTGCCACCCATCAGATAACTAGGTGAGATGCACGTGCAATGCGTGTGGTTAAGTATCTTGTTTGTTTCTTTTTAAGTTTATTTCTTTATTGTAACTGAGTTGTAGAAATGTTTCGAGACTTCTACTACAATGTCTATTACAATGTGGTCACAATCAAAATCATGGCATTACAGCAAAGCATAAAAATCAGCAAAATAAAATGAATATGATATACAATCAGCTCTCAATTCACATTTATAACAGCAACAAATCATACTCCCTTTAAAAGCACGAGTTCGGAAAATCTTTTTTAGACAAATATACCCATTTATAGTTTGAACTACCTTATATATAATCAAATTCTAATTTTCAATGGTCAATATTACCCTTCACTATTTTGAATATTTTATTTATATCTTAATTTATCCTAATCATAATCATATCTTATCCTAATCCTATGTGAACCATGTTTAGCTTAACAATTTAAAAAAACTAATATAAATAAAATATATAAAACATAAAAATGATATTAGTTTGTTAAGATAAAAAAATTACAAGCAGATAACATATTATAATACATGAAGTATTGCAAAAAAACCATAAAAAGTTTTAAAATTGCAGAAAAGACCCTAAAAAGTTCAAAATTATAAAAATCATCCCAATGTCTCAAAACTTAAAATAAAAAACATGAAATTAAAAAATAAACATCAGTTTGCAAAGAATTTAAAATTTACAGTTAACACCTCAATGTCTCAAAATTATAGAAACACCCTCAAAAGTTTAAATTACAGACAAACACATTAAAATTATAAAACTTTAAAACTTACAAACAACACAGATGAATTCAAGAGATTACCATGATACACCTAAAATTTTTGACATTTAAATTTAAATTTTTTAATTAAGACCCTCAATATCTCAAAAATTATAGAAACATCTTCAAAAGTTCAAATTATAAAAAACCACCCTAAAATTCTAAAATTTGTAAATAACATAAGATGAATTCAAGATATTACCCTTAGACACCTGAAAAATTAAAATTTGCCGAAATTTAAAATTTGCCGAAATTAACCTCAAAATTTTTAAAAAACTCCTTCAAAATTTAAAAATTGTAAAAAAACTCAAAATTTTTAAAATTTTTAACTAGCGCACATCAAATTCGTCGATTGGTAGACCGCTAAAATTTAATATTTTTCAAAATTAATCTATAGTTTTAATAATTGCAAAAGACACCCTCAAAATTTTAGAGTTACAAGAAATATACTAACATTTAAAAAATTACCACCAACACATGAAACATATAATTTACAACTACCAAACTTAAAAATAATTTTTTTAAAAAACTCTTTCAAAATTTTAAAAATTACAAATCACACCCTCAAAGTTTAAAACCACAAAAATGGGCTAAAATTTTAAAACTTGGCAAAGAAAAGTGTAATTGTTTGGTATTTTTCATATATATATATATATTAAAATTTCTAATTTAGGGATTTACTATCCATTTTCAGCATCTAAGAATAGTCTAAGTTGATACTGGTAAACAAAAACAATAAGAATTGATTAAAAACATCCGGTTAATGGATAAAATTTTTAAAAATATTATAGATTAAAAATTATCGGCACTATATAAATTAAAGTAATTTCATATAATTTTAGTAATAAGTTGGGGTAGCCAAAATACATTCGTAACATTAATTGATAGATGTTTAAATCCATAGAAATGATAAAACACTATAATATTATACCTTAGCATTAATTGATTTTAATTTAGAAACTTTAATCTTTGACGTTAATAATATTTATAGGGTAAAAGAATACAAGGAATTACATATGGAGAAACTATTAGAATATTTAGAGATAACTTTAAAAGAATTGAGTTATTTCCATTGCAAATGGGAAAGTGATGGAAATAAATCTAAAATTCAGAAAACGTCAATGAATCACTTGAATTGGCATTAACATAAGACATATCTATTAATGAAGCACTGAATGAGTTACATTAAAAAATAATTTAATAACTTTATCCTAATCAAAGAAAAAATCTCCATGGAAGACATAAGAAAAATTAGTAAGTATTCATAAATTCCATACTGTGTTCTTCAAATTAAATATTAATATTATAATCTAAGAGAAATTGGTAATGAATAATGCAGGTATTTAGTTTAGATCTTTATGGAAAATGACAGGGATAGAGCAAAGGTAATATTATTGAAATAACAGAAATTCTTATTGGATGCACATCAGAAGAATTCATTTTAGAGGAAAATAAAGAGATAGCTTCTAATTTATTTAAGTAATAAATTAGGAACACAAAGAATTTTATATATATGAAATTAATATTTATTCTCATTGAAATAGAAAAAAAATCAAAGTCTATATTTTGAGCAGTTTGTGTTGAACATCATAAGTACATTTGACTTCTTTGTAAAGTTAAATGAGATGATAAAAAATTAACGAGCCCAGGAAAGATAATAGCATAAAAAATACAAAATTGGCCTGATGTCACAATTGACGTAAATGATGAAGACAATACTCTAGAATTGCCCGAGAAATGATAAATGATAAACCTGAAGAAGGATTGATCTTAACTCAATAAAAAATAAAATAGAAGAAATAAAAAACAATATTTTTTGAATATTTTATAGAATAGTTTAATTATTTTGAGTGAAATTAGGAATCTTTAAAAGGGAGTTTCATGAATTTTTTCAGTACTTTTATATTCTTATGTGGATTTTTTTATCATATAAAAATATACTAGAGTTAGCATTAATCTTTAAGTACTTTTATATTCTTATGTGGATTTTTTTATCATATAAAAATATACTAGAGTTAGCATTAATCTTTAATTTATATTTTTTTATGAAGTCTATCATGATTAGGAATAAACTTCATATTCTCTTTTGCATCGTTTTAACATACTTTAAATCAATCATTTTGTCATATTGGTTTTAAATATTCACCTTCCTTATATAACACTATTTTAATATTTTTTACTTTGCAATGCTATACTTTCTCAAATATAGCTTAGTTTCATATCGGTCAAAAATAATATGAAAATTTAAATTATTTTTAAATTATATTTGTTTTTTGTCAATTCATCAACATGAAAATTTAAATTGGGTGTATCTCATTTAAACAAACATAAAAAAATAATTGGGATGTAAGAGTTTAAAGAAAAAAATGAGCACAAACTGCCAAAAATACTTAATCATGGTATTAAATCACGTGCATTGCACGTGTGTAAAAACTAGTCTCTACAAATATAAGAGGATCATTATGTTCAAAGTTGATGAATAATCATCACAAAATCAATGTAGTTTCTAAAGTACATATAGATAATATTAAAATAAATCCACAATACACTAAAACCAGGCATGCCTGTAATACTCGTAAGATCACAAGATTTCGAAGCTACTTTGTTAAATAAAAAATTACAACAATGTTCTTATATGTTCAATTGAATGATTGGCCATGATGGGATCTTATTCCACAATCTCCTTATGATGTAGGGGAAAGCAACTATGTAATCTATGTTACTTTCTGTGCAACATTCCATGCAGTTTTCATCATGACTTACCAATCTTAGCTAAGAATCAAAGTTAGCTACAACAGTAACAGGAAAAAAGATCCCAAATCTATTGAAAAGATGAAGAATAGGAAAACTGGACCTTTTAATGTACAATTCTGCAGCAAGTTGAAAAGAAATAAAGATAAAGATGAATAGGCATGTGACTATGTTCATTAGTTGCACCTTCACCACTTTTCCTGCAAACTAAGTTCCCCATGCAAACATAGCACTAATATTACAAAAGCTTCAACAATTGTTGGGTGTTTAGAACAAACTGCTCGTGTGCTTAGGAAAATAATAGTATAGCTAGAGTTACATGATCATAGATTTATTCAATATGTATAAGTTCAATTATCTTTAGCAAAAAAAAAAAAATCCATATCAATTAAACACCAACACTAAAGATATAGGAGCAAAGAATCACAGATATGCACCTAGTATACTACACAAGAAGAATAACACTTGTTCTTGTATCAAAAAATGGATAGGTAAATTCCCTCAAAAAAATATTTACAAATATAAATATTTACAAATATTATACACAATTCCTCCATATTCAAGTATAGGGAAGAGGTTGATAATAGCCCAACAAAATTCTTCTATGTCGCAGAGAAGTCGAGCTTTTGATCAAAATTTATAAGAATATAGGTAGCTGAAAATCATGTACACAATTATTTAAAAAAAGATAATACAAATCCAAAGCTGATGACGGCTCAAAAACAGCTTCATGCAACAAACACACAAACAAAGAACTTTCGAAGAGTCTCTATCTGGTCATAGCGCATAGAATAATTCGTATACAGAGTATTGAGAATGCAGGAAATGATAGAGGCACACCCTTAGGCACACCATCAACCACAGTCCCCCTCTTGCTACAGTGTAGCAGCCCTACTTGTGCTTTTTTTATTTTTAAAAAAATCACATGTGAGGTCGCTGCATTGCAGTAAGAGGGGGAGTGTGGTTGATGATGTGTCTAAGGGTGTGCCTGTAGCGCCTCCCGAGAATGAAATAGGTGGTCTTAAGTTGCTGTGGGCATTAGCACTGATCTAGAACATAGCCTTTTGCTGCCTTGATGATGTCACCGACATCCACAAGTCATTTCAAATCAATCTAGTAATTAAGCACTATCTTTGTTAACTAGATTAAAATCAGAAAGGATTTATGAAAGGTTCTTTTGTTCATGAAATAAAGGGTTTTATTATTCTGAGGGATCTTGTTATTCATTATATCGTCATAAAGATAATCCCATTTTGGCTCAAATATATAAACATATGTAAAGATAATCCCATTTTGGCGCAAATATATAAACATAGGTTCTGTTGTTCAGGTCTATTAGTAGCTGTCTTCAGTGTTGAATTTATCATCTTCATGTTCTTCTCGATTATTAAACCTACCTGTAGAGAAATTCCAAGATGAAAAAAATGAAAAAGTAATAAAAAAGTAGTAGAAGAAGAATGCTTATACATCTTAAATAAGTTTGTGGATACACTAATTTCAATATAATGTTCATGCAACGCTAAAAATGACCAAGTAACTAAAAAAAGAAAGCTGCCATATGACATCTACAAAATAAAATCTGCAAGTCCACAAGTATGCCATGTGTCACTTTACAACATAAAACAAATAAATATTGAAAAAAATAAACTATATAAGCAGCGTAGGAGCACTTTGAGAGGAGAAAAAAAATAAAAGACTTGAAAAAAGCAAGTGAAAAGTAATTGAATTTAAAATAAGAAAATTGAGGCTGAATGTGGATATGATTGTATCGTATGTATTTGTACTTAACGAGGTATTCCATATGCATTCGTACTAAATAACAAGTGCCTTAATTGACGTTTCAAGGCTAAAACCCTTTTATAGGACCACATAGGCAAAAGAATATGGTAATAAGATCTGAAATTCTTTGCGAACTGTCTTTGTCCTTCAAAGATCACATAAAATCCTGTCATGCATATTTTGGCATTTAGGGGACAGATGAAAAAAAGCGGATAGTTTTTAACAAAAAAAATTAGCTTATGAGATATTAATGAGAAGGTACATACAGAGAATGAAATCCTATCAGAACAGAGATGCTACTACAAAAATCTTCCCTCTTTCTAAATATAAAGATCATCAGGACCGGCGGTCTCCATTCCACTTTCAAAATACGTTGAACTCGGGACATCTATGGCATTAACGGACAAATGTGTAGTTTGAACTGTAAGTCATAAATTGCAACATCAAAGTTGAATAATTCCATACGAATCAACATAAATAAAATAATATTTTGCTCATGCATTTTAAAATATGGACTTGGTGATTTGGAGATTTTAATGTGTCACGGTTCAAATCACTAATCCCAAATCACACCACAAGAAATGTAATATAATCTTTTTCAAGTAAAGAGGAAGCAAAGAGCCAATACATATGTCAACAGCCAAATAACTTCATTATCTTACGGTTCAGAACAAAGAAAGGAGTGATGTCTGTTCCAAATTATTGCGGTTGTCTCAAATTTCTCTCCCATCCCATGGTATATAAATAGCTACACTTTTTTTTGGACTTTGCATGAAGTAGGAATTTTGATTCTACAACAAATCGGATTGTGATCGAATAAGTTGGGCAAAGAAACTTACTGAGATTATTTGAATTTCCTTATCCCATTAGCTAACAACCAATACCATTAGCTAACAACCAATAGGAAAGAAACCACGAACTTTATTAATAAAGATATCATTATTAATTAAGATTAGATTACAATATAACATCCAAAAAGTGTTAAGGGTAAGAGGATTTTGATTTTGTATCAGATAATTTGGATATATTATGATGATATTGACCATGGAAAGTTTTTCCAAACTCGCAATTTTAAAAAAGGTATGATACTGGAATAGTCATGATAATCTCTGAATAGAATGGGAAATGACATAACATGAGTGATATTAGTCTAACTATGCTATTTACTTCAATGTTCTTCTTAGTACCCAAGTTATTTTAATATGCTAAGTACAAAATACCATATTACCACAAAAAAAAGTTAATTATGATTTATAAGAAACCATATTGAACTTAACCACAATTTTAACTCATTCAGACCTCAACAGATTCGTGGGTCTTGGTCTTGGGCACCAAAGATAGCTTTTCCAACAAATCAATAAAATCTGTAATTCAAAAAACCTAAAAAAACATTGATCATCTACTCATCAAAACTCTTGCTTTCTTATTGCTTTGAACACAAGATTAATAGAAACTCTACTCAATGTGTAAAGCCTCTTTCAAATTTGAACAATGACATAAAATCAAAAGAAGGAACAAAAACTATTGAATCAATACACAACCAGTAAAAAAAATTCTATAAAAGCTTTATAGAAATCCTAAACCCACATCTTAGGTTGAATATCTAAACATAAAACTCTAAGAAAACCCAAAACCAACAAACCCCATCACAAATCTTTCAAGAATAGAACGCCCAAAACAAATCAAAATCTAACAAGAAGTGAAAAAAGAAAATGAAAAGGAAAGCATACATTCATTACAGGAACGAATTCCAAAAACTCGACCCATTGGAGAAAAAATCAACCACCACAAAGACGCGAGAAAACTTTTTCGATTCCAGGAAAGGAGACGACTCTTTTTAAGAGTGATGGGGGGCAATTATGTATCTGAAATTGAGGTATTCAATCAATGGTAAAGATAGTTGTGGGTAAATAGTAGTATATAGATTAGGATGAGGATGTAACTAAATTTCTTAATTCTAATAAAATCTAAATACACTTTGTTTCCTTATCTTCATACTATATATATCTAATAAAAATTTATTAATTTCCTAAGCCAATAATGAATTAGTATTTGAATTCCAAGAGTATTTTTGTCTACTAAAATATTTTCCCAAACTCGTGCTTTTAAAGGGAGCATGATCCGTAACCATTTGATATATTTGAAGAGGATCCACCATTGTAATGCAAGGAGTGGCCTACCCAGCATTCATGTTAGGCCAAGATTCATATGGCACTTCACTTGCATCTACATAATATCTGCTTTTCCTCAGTGCTATAAATAATGAGTGATACAGAGAACAATGACATATAATTTGCTTCCTCATCATTTTCTCATAGAGGTCTAAGGCTTCTATAACTTTCCCCCTTTTGCAGTATGACTTAATAAGAATTTGAAATGGCACATGATCTATAGGCAAACTAGAAATCAACAACTTGTTAAACATCATTCCAGCTTCTCGAATTCTCCTCTGTTGACAAAGACCTATAATCCACAGAGTAAGTGAAAATGTCGGGCTGAAACTTCCATATTTTAGGGATCAAAGGATCAACATTATGTTCAGAATTAAATGCAACTCCAATTAATAAGTTATATGTAACTGCATCAGGAAAGATTCCATTATCAAGCATTTTCTTTTTCAGTAACGTAGCTTGTCTAATGTTCCCCGCCTTCACATTAGCATGGATAAGCGCATTGTAGGTGAATACTTTTGGCACCACACCCATTTCCTCCATCATATCTCTAGTGGAATAAGCACCACTAATATCACCATGTCTTGCATAGCTAGTATGAGATTCCAAGTACGACGATCGAGGGTCAACTGATCGTTTAACATCTTATGTAAGAATGAGAAGGTTTCAGTAATGTTACCTTGTTGACAAAGTGCTTGGATAACCAATTTGTATGAGATAGCATATGTTTGCAGACCATAAAGTTCCATCCTATTCACTTGATCTTATTGTGAATGTCACAAGCCTCATGTATGCTTCCTTTTCTAGCAAAGCCGCTTATTAGAATATTGAACGTCACAACATCAGGAAGGAAACACCTCTTAAACATCTCAGAGAAATATCTATATGCTACATTCATATTTTGTACCAAACAAAATCCATTTATGAGTACATTAAATGCAATACGGTCAATTCTTATCCCTTTCTCAAACATCTCATTCCAAAGTTCAAGCGATTGAATAATATCTCATTACCTACAACATCTATCCATTAGAATTGTTGACATAATAACATTCGACTCCTCAAAATGTTCTTCCAATATCTCAACAAGTTTCCTAACATGAATTACTTCATGAAATCCTTTAGTGCACAGAGCATGAACAAGTATATTACAAGTAACAATATCAGGACTAACTCCACTTTGAGACATAGAAGAAACAAGATCGAGAGCCTTATCTAGGTGGTCCTAACGACAGTACCCGTCAATTAGCGTATTATAAGTGACGATATTGGGAAAAACACCAACTTTGACCATCCATTCAAGAAGAAAAGTTACAGTCAACAAGTCACACATTTTACAAAGCCCATTTAAAGGAAATTATGTGTAAAGATCCGGAACCATATGATCCCCCTGCAAATTGCTATGTAGCTCCAGAGCAGCTTTTATCTTGCCCTAACTGCACAACATTATAATCAGCGCACCATCACTATCAGAAGCAAATCTAAAACCACAGTGAAAAACACTCGTCATTCCTTGATGGAAGCTACATCTACTAACCATCTTAAATCCTTCTTTGCAAATTGTATAAAATATGAGAAACTTAAATTCTGAAATCGCTTCACCTCATGTCTCTATGTGGAATAATGGATCGAATTCGGGTCAGGATTAAGGACCCGTATTTTTCTAGTGAGATGCCTTTGTCTCCATTGATTCCCACTGTGTTTCTTCTCCTCCCCGAGCAAAGACTTTTTTAAAACTTTTAGGGTTAGGGTTTATTTTCGTCACCATTAAATCCTAACGTCGACGCGAATACTTACTTTAATAGTTCAATCCATCAAAATCAATACGAAATCTCCATTAGATGGAAGTATGTAATCCCTCGTCCTCATTCTATTTTTATCCCTAATTTTTTCCTAAAACTTAATTGATTTACATCACAAATTTGGATTTCTCAGTCGGTTGCGGCGGGCAAAGAGTTTTGTCATTTGATCCAAATTTTTGCCTCGGATCTCAGAAATCTCCCTATTGTGATGGGCATTGACGATTTCTTCTCTAATTTATTTAATTTCAGACCTCAGTCTCGCCATCGCGGAAGGTAACCATTTAGGGTTTACTAAAGTTTATTTGCATATTGATTTTTGTGCTAAAGTTATCATCTTGAACATCACATTTGTTGTAGTTTTGGTGTTTGGATAATCATGCAACTGATTGGATCTGTGTTGTGCTTTTTGTGTTTGAATAATCGTGGAAATTGTATAAGTGATGCATTGTCACCTTCCGCTATCGAAAACCTAGTAGTTCCGAAGGACGAGGCATATGAAGCTGACATTAGAAAATTGTTTCCGAAGAATAAAGAGAACCAAAATCATGGCGATGAACCTGATCCTCATGCTATGTTCAATGTACTAGATTTGGTTCTTGTGGAGACAATGGAGCGCTTGAAGAAGTTAAGGTTGGTCCGTTGTGAGTAGTCTATTGTACTGGTTGATAATGATATGGTTTCAGTCTTGATCTAGATTCATTCAAGTTTCTCATATTTTATACAATTTACAGAGAAGGATTTAGGATGATTGGTAGATGTAGCTTCCATCAAGGAATGGCGAGTGTTCTTCACAGTGATTTTAGATTAGCTTCTGATAGTGATGATGCGCTGATTAGAATGTTGTGCAGTTCGGGCAAGAAAAAAGTTGCTCTGGAGCTAAATAATAATTTGTAGGGGGATCATATGGTTCTAGATCTTTACACATAATTTCCTTATGAATGGGCTTTGTAAAATAGGTGACGTGTTGACTGCAAATTTTCTTTTTGAACGGATGGCCGAAGTTGGTGTTTTTCCTAATATTGTCACTTATAATACGCTAATTGACGAGTACTGTCGTTGAGACCACTTAGATAAGGCTCTCGATCTTGTTTCTTCTGTCCCAAAGTGGAGTTATTCCTGATATTGTTACTTGTAATCAATGTTACATTAAACGTTGGGCGCTTCTAGGCGTCGGACTTGGCGCCCAGCGGTTAGTCGCCTAGGCGGGCGCCTAAGCGGTTTCTGGGCGGTTTTTTCTTTCTTCATTTAAGTGGTGGTCGATGAGGTTTTGCAGAAGGTCGGAGGAGGTAGTGGAGATGTTCATATTTGGAGGTTAATGGAGTTTGGAGGACATGTAGGCTACAACACATAAAATCACAATCAAGGCCTACAGGGTGCAATCTACGTAAGCAGACAATGCTCCCCTAAACGCTCGTAAAATCTAGGTGAGCAGCCTAAATACCGCCTAGGCGCTAGGCGCTAGTTAGGCGGCCTAGGTACCGTCTAGATCTAGGTGTACACCTAAGCGGACTAGGCGGAGGTTTTTTAAAACAGTGCTTGTAATATACTTGTTCATGCTCTCTGCACTAAAGGACTTTAGGAAGTAATTCATGCTGGGAAACTTGTTGAGATATTGGAAGAACATTTTGAGGAGTCAAATGTTATTACGTTAACAATTCTAATGGATGGATGTTGTAGACAAGGAGATATTATTCAAGCGCTTGAAGTTTGGAATGAGATGTTTGAGAAAGGGATAAGAATTGACCGTACTGCATTTAATGTACTCATAAATGGATTTTGTTTGGTACAAGATATGAAGGTAGCATATAAATATTTCTCTGAGATGTTTAAGAGGGGTTTCCTTCCTGATGTTGTAACGTTCAATACTCTTATAAGCGGCTTTGCTAGAAAAGGAAGCATACATGAGGCTTGTGACATTCACAATAGGATGGAACTTGATGGTCTGCGACCAAATGCTATCTCATACAAATTGGTTATCCAAACACTTTGTAAACAAGGTAACATCACTGAAGCCTTCTCATTCTTATGTAAGATGTTTAACGATCAGCTGACCCCCGATCGTCGTACTTGGAATATCATACTTACTAGTTATGCAAGACATGGAGATATTAGTGGTGCTTATTCCACTAGAGATATGATGGTGGCAATGGGTGTGGTTCCAAATGTGTTCACCTACAATGCGCTTATCCATGCTAATGTGAAGGGCGAACATAAGACAAGCTCTGTTACTGAAAAAGGAAATGCTTGCTAATGGAATCTTTCCTGATGCGGTTCCATATAACTAATTAATTTGAGCCGCATATAATTCTGAACATAATGTTGATCCTTTGATCCCTAAAATAAGGAAGTTTCAACCCGACTTTTTCACTTTCACTATGGATTAGAGGTCTTTGTCAACAAAGGAGAATTCGAGAAGTTGGAATGATGTTTAACAAGTTGTTGAGATATGGTTTTGCTATAGATCATGTGTCATTTCAAATTCTTATGAAGTCATACTGTAAAAAGGGGAAGTTATAGAAGCCTTAGACGTTTATGAGAAAATGATGAGGAAGCAAATTGTATGTCATTTTTCTCTGTATCGCTCATTATTTAGAAGCCTTAGAAGAATTTATGCAAGCTGTTTCCACTAATTTAAGAGAAAATTCAATGTCGTATCATTTTAGGCTTAAGATAGCAATACAACATAGTCCAATCCGCATAGATTTCTTGGGCTTGTGGACACTACTCCCTTAAAATTTCTTAATTTTTGGTGTAGGAGTAAGTTTCTTTAGACAAGAAACAAGCTCCTAAAGCAACTCCAAAGTATTCTTCTGAAAACTTTCCTTCATTCGACCTTGAAGCTCCTACAATCTATAAACCATGCAAAGAAACATATTCCATGTCATTGACTCATAAAGTCACCATCCCAAGTTTAAAAATAGTGTTCCAAGAGAGTAAAAAGGCCTTCTCAAGTAATTATAACCTCCTATAGCTTATAATTCATTCCTTCCTCAAAAAGATCCTTGGTAACTATGTTAACTTCATTCAAATAATCCTTGGTAACTATATGAAGCAATTGGGTGAATTGCGGATAGAACCAATGTACTATCACCCAACCCCCTCTAGTTCTATTGTTGCAGATAGACAATGTATGAAAGTTCTACAAGTCTTTAATCCTCAGACAAAGAGAGGACATTTTTTTTACTAATAGACCTGGTGAAAGAGTCAAAATTTTCACTCTGCAACAATAGAACTGCAGGGGCTCTATCCGTAATTTACCCAAAACAATTTCACATAGTACTTAGGTTACCAGGATTTATTCACTTTTCCAAGAACAAAAAAACCAGAATCACATTAAAAAAGGAATGTTCTCACTTCTCAAAGTTACTACTGATTAAAGGCAACAAATAACATAACAAAACAAACTTTACTCACTTCTTCAAAGTTACTGCTGATTAAAGACAACAGATACATAAGACACAGGTCCAGGTACTAAAACGCTTAACAAGAGTTACTACTAATCAACGCTTAAACAAAAGTTACTACTGACACTAAACAAGGTTAACATAAATGAACAAAAATAGACATACTAACCAAACATAGTTTTTCCATAGACCAAGGTTTTCCCAAAAGCTCCACTGCAGCCAGATAAGTCTTGTTCTCAATTATGAACAATGCCCCCATAAGAACTAGATTCCTGAAGCAAAAGAAATAATACCATTATTACCCAAAGAAACTACCAGAAATTTGTAAAAGAGTTAAATAGAGAACATACAGAAGCGAGAGAAGCTTACATTTTTAAGCTTGTCTCAGCCAAGACTTCAAACACCTCCAATCAACGGCATGTCATCAAAGCTCCAGAGATTAACAGCATCCGAACCATCCTGGGCAAAGAAGCCATCGAAGGAGTCATCTAAAATCACTTGAACATCAGGACCTTGAAGAAACTTTATATAGGACTCATAAGCAGAAAGCTCCTCAGAGAGTTTCATTGCTGCAGTCTAATTAGCTGAAACTCCTTCCACAAAATTGTTCTTCAGATTCTTCTGTGGATTACTATTGTCATTTCTAAAATCCCAGATTCATTTTCTTCAGTTAAAGTAGCAGGAGCAAATGAAGTGATCTCTGGTGCCTTGCTGATCTCATTTCCATAACCAAAATCAGAAAATTCCAAGCAGTTGCTCCCCTGATCAGACTGGAAATTCGAAGAATTTGTGTTTTCCTCGAAGAAACCAAAAGTAGAGTAAAACTCAGGATCGAGATGGAAGTCAGGATTCATGGAAACTCAGGGATTGGAGATTTAAATGATGTGAGTTTTGGTGTTGGTTCATCCTCGGGAAAATTGACTTTAGCTTTTTTGCCTCGGATTTTACGAGCTTCAGCATCATAAGCACGAGCAGCTTCTTCAGCAGTGCTGAATGTTCCTCGCCAAACTCGAACTCCTTTGCAAGGGTCCCTGATCTCTGCAGCCCATTTTCCCCATGGACGCTGACGAATGCCTAAGTACTGGTTCTTCCTCTTTCTCTTTGCAGATTTCTCAGCAGCCCCCTTGAACTCAACAGGCTTTAGAGATTCTATCCAAGCATAAAAGAAATTGCAAACAAATAATCATTCTAATGCTTAAATCCTAGAATATTTGATAACCTACTAAGGGATAAGAAAGAATAAGCAAAATAAAAAAAATGCAACTGCACTAACTAAAAAGGAAATCAAAAGGCTTCATCATCATCATTTGAAAAAAACGTATTGGCCATTTCCCATCAAATGAGTCGATCTTAATTCAGTAAAAGAATGTAACTTCTTAAATAACCTACAATGAACAACGAACAGCTAATCTTTTGCAATTTATGCCCCTACCATAATAAGTAATCAATAGTAATAGAAAAGATGAGTAAAATAATTAATTTCTGCGTACTTTTACCTGCTCTAATGCTTTTTAGGCCTTTTTTAGCCTATTAACTAAAAATTTGCACCCCCATCTTTATAAGTTATAACAATAACTGTTTTCCCAATTCACTATAACCCTAAAAAGAAATATCAACTAAGAACACAAACCAACAGAAAGAGTAATCAAACAAACAAAAACCGTTCAGTCTATAATACTATTACAGTACTCCCACCAAATAGAACCCAACATAAAAATAGAACCAATTGAGGAAAGAAACCCCATCCAATCCCCGAACTAACAGATACCCATTTAAAAAAAAAAATTAAACAGAAAAAACCACCAAAATTCAATCTTTACAACAATTCAACTAATTAAACAAATAGAAAAAAACAAGGACAATGAATACGTTTATACTCAACATTGAACTCAGGAAGCCCATCGAAAAGGCGAAAACTAATTCCAATCATACATTTCTATAACCGTATCAAAGCTTTCTCAAGTAGCCGCATTATAGATCTACAATTTAAACAATGCAACATTCATTCATCGATCATTATGCATTATATCCCTATCAGAATAAGTAAACAAAGATAAGTGCAAAAAAAAGTTCAACTTCTTAAAGTCAATTCCTGCTAACTTTTATCTATTGCAATCAGTTTAGGCCTTTTAGTAAACAAAGAATCATATATTTCAGTCAATTATTCTGACATAAACATCCACCCATCAGATAATACATAAGCATTTAATATCTACAGCAACCAGTCTGTTTGAATAGGAGCCATCATTTAATGCAAGGAGTGACCTACCCTGCATTCATGTTGGGCCAAGATTCATATGGCACTTCACTTGCATCTACATAGTATCTGCTTTTCCTCAATGCTATAAATAATGAGCGATAGAGTGAAAAATGACATACAATTTGCTTCCTCATCATTTTCTCATAGAGGTCTAAGGCTTCTATAACTTTCCCCCTTTTGCAGTAAGACTTTATAAGAATTTGAAATGGCACATGATCTATAGGCAAACCAGATCTCAGCAACTTGTTAAACATCATTCCAGCTTCTCGAATTCTCCTCTGTTGACAAAGACCTCCAATCCACATAGTGTAAGTGAAAATGTCGGGCTGAAACTTCCATATTTTAGGGATCAAAGGATCAGCATTATGTTCAGAATTAAACGCAGCTTCAATTAATAAGTTATATGTAACTGCATCAGGAAAGATTCCATTAGTAAGCATTTCCTTTTTCAGTAACAGAGCTTGTCTTATGTTTCCCGCCTTCACATTAGCATGGATAAGCGCATTGTAGGTGAACACATTTGGAACCACACCCATTGCCACCATCATATCTCTAGTGGAATAAGCACCACTAATATCTCCATGTCTTGCATAGCTAGTAAGTATGAGATTCCAAGTACGACGATCGGGGGTCAGGTGATCGTTTAACATCTTATGTAAGAATGAGAAGGCTTCAGTGATGTTACCTTGTTTACAAAGTGCTTGGATAACCAATTTGTATGAGATAGCATCAGGTCGCAGACCATCAAGTTCCATCCTATTGTGAATGACACAAGCCTCATGTATGCTTCCTTTTCTAGCAAAGCCGCTTATAAGAGTATTGAACGTCACAACATCAGGAAGGAAACCCCTCTTAAACATCTCAGAGAAATATCTATATGCTACCTTCATATCCAGTACCAAACAAAATCCATTTATGAGTACATTAAATGCAATACGGTCAATTCTTATCCCTTTCCCAAACATCTCATTCCAAACTTCAAGCGCTTGAATAATATCTCCTTGCCTACAACATCCATCCATTAGAATTGTTGACGTAATAACATTTGACTCCTCAAAATGTTCTTCCAATATCTCAGCAAGTTTCCCAGTATGAATCTCTTCCTGAAGTCCCTTGGTGCAGAGAGCATGAACAAGTATATTACAAGTAACAATATCAGGACTAATTCCACTTTGAGACATAGAAGAAACAAGATCGAGAGCCTTATCTAGGTGGTCCCAACGACAGTACCCCTCAATTAGTGTATTATAAGTGACAGTATTGGGAAAAACACCAACTCCAGCCATCCGTTCAAGAAGAAAAGTTGCAGTTAACAAGTCACCCATTTTACAAAGCCCATTCATAAGGAAATTATGTGTGTAAAGATCTGGAACCATATGACCCCCCAGCAAATTGCTATGTAACTCCAGAGCAGCTTTTATTTTGCCCGAACTACACAACATTCTAATCAGCGCACCATCACCATCAGAAGCAAATCTAAATCCACTGTGAAGAACACTCATCATTCCTTGGTGGAAGCTACATCTACTAACCATCCTAAAGCTTTCCCTGTAAATTGTATAAAATATGAGAAACTTGAATGAATCTAGACTAAGACTGAAACCATATCATTATCAACCAGTACAAAAGACTACTCACAACGGACCAACCTTAACTTCTTCAAGCGCTCCATTGTCTCCACAAGAACCATATCCAGTACATTGAACACAGCATGAGGATCACGTTCATCGCCATGATTTTGGTTCTCTTTATTCTTCGGGAACAAGTTTCTAATGTCAGCTTCATATGACTCGTCCTCCAGAACTACTAGGTTTTCGACAACGGAAGGTGACAATGCATCACTTCTACAATTTCCACGATTATTCAAACACAAAAATTACAACACAGATCCAATCAGTTGCATGATTATCCAAACACCAAAACTACAACAGATTTGATGTTCAAGATGACAACTTTAGCACAAAAAAATCAATATGCAAAGAAACTAAAATCATATATAATCAGATCAAACTTGGACAATAAATTAGAAATTAGCAAATATATTTACTGAACAGTTTGCAAAACTTCGTTAATTACAGTCTGTGCCGGTCTACCTCTCTGAAATGGCCCCGGCCCGACACCGAGGCATGCTGAACATCGTCCTCCAACTCATGATAACCATCGGCGTTCTCGTTGCCAACCCGTTGGGTTGTAGAAATTGAGGCTAGGGTTTTTACATTTTAGTTGGGTTTTGGCCTTTTGGTTGGGTTGGTCAGCGGTTTCGGTTTTGAAACTTTGGATAGTTTATTAAATTGCGGATATGTGTATATGTAATCGAATCTTACACTCATATTCGTATCGGATCCGTATCCGAAAAAAAATCAGATCCGTATCCGAAATTATATCTGTCCGGTTTTAAAAATGGTTTATCATATATGCATCCGTTTGGATACGGATGCAAATCGGTTTGAATAAAATCAAACCATTTGTGACACCTCCTTCTTTTATTAGTAAGATATGGATCTAGCTTGTTTCTTTAAGATTAGACACGTTAATAACATGTCGATTATATACTTGTACTTTGTTCATATAATATATTTAAATTTCTTCTTTGGCTGTTTGGTTGGTTTCCTACAAACCAAGAAAAGGAAATCCATGTACTTTTTTCATTAAAATATTATTTTTATTCATTTCCATCCCTAAAACTCATCAAAAAAAAAAGAAAATATATACACTTTTATCAATAAAATATTATTTTTATCCATCAACTCATCATATCTCATCTTCTTTTTTACTTTTAAAAATAAACCAAACACAAGAAATGAGTCACATCATCCAACTCATCTCATCTCATATTTAAAAATCACACACATCATCCAATAATATGGTGACAACTCATCTCATCTCATTAACATTTCATTTCCACACATTTCCTAAAAAAACATGAAAATTGATTTCCTTAAGTGTGGGTCACATCATCCAATAATATACAAACAACTCATCTCATCTCATCTATCATCCAATAATATACAAACAACTCATCTCATCTCATCTATTTTCTTATTTTTAAGAATGAACCAAACACCAGAAAGAAACTATTATAGGAAATAGTCTCATCTCATCTATTTTCTTATTTTTAAGAATGAACCAAACACCAGAAAGAAACTATTATAGGAAATAGGTTTCTTATAATACATTTCCTTTTTTTAATCAACAAAACAACCTCAAAACTAGTTTTCTTAAAAAATCACTCATATCATCCAATAATATGGTGACAACTCATCTCATCCCATCTCTTATTCTTTGATTTCCTTCTTTTTTTAGCCAACCAAACAACCATAATACAAGTTTTCCTATTCTTTGATTTCCTATTCTTTAATTTCCTATTCTTTAATTTCCCACTTTTTTTAGGCAACTAAACAGCCCCTAAGAAAAATGAAGCAACGATGCATTCATATTTGGAAAATGATAGGGGCACACCCCCAACCACATCCCAAACCACATCCCCTCTCTCACATGCTACAGTGCACCGGGCCCCACATGGGATTTTAAAATTTTAAAATCTCATGTGGGGCCGGTGCACTGTAGCATATGAGAGAGGGTATTAAAATCCCATGTGGGGCCCGGTGCACTGTAGCATATGAGAGAGGGTATGGTTTGGGATGTGATTGGGGGTGTGCCCCTAGTGCCACCCTTCATATTTTAGTTGACAAAATGACTATATCACCTCAAATTATCATTGAACTCCGAGCATTCTTCCTAAAGCATCAATTTATATATTTTTTCTTCCTTATTCTATGTTTCTTTACCCAGCACGGTCCTTACCAAGGGTGACATGACACACCATTATTACAAAGGGCACTCTGACAAAATCTAAGATGTACCAAGAACCCCCTAAATTTTAGGGGCTTTTTTTTATAATTTCTAGATCTTTTTAAGGTGTTTCTTTTATA